CTGCCGTCCAGCTCTTTCTCCATGCGGGGATCGCCCTCGAGGTTAGCACCGTTGTACATGACGGGCGGGACGAGGTAGGAGGAGGAGGGTGGGAAGGTGAGAAGGGGTGGGCCGGGGGAGCGGTGAGCGCATGAGAGGTCTTATCAAGAGCCTACGTCGGGGAGACCATGTGGTTGTTCTCCAAATTTGCATAGATCTATGCGGAGCTAGTCGCGAGCCATCTTTTCTGCCTGTCATAGAGCCGCGCGCTGCCGCTTGCTGGCCTGAGTATCGCATGGCCGATTTCGATCGTAAAATAATTATCCCACCATCGCCGCATCTCCTCCCAGGCACGCCTTGGCTCCCGCTCGCCCGCCATCAGCCCAGGTGCGCACACGACACGAGCACAATCGCGACGAAGTTTGAGAGAGCTGAGGAGACGTGTAGGACTGCAATGCAATGACTGCAACTCGGATCGGCCATCGCTTGCGTTTGCGCCACCCGACGCTCCACGAGGCTCCGTGCCTGGTCTGGTCACCACGCACTCTCGACCTGCCACTGCCAGCGTTGGCATTGCAATCATGGCGCAGCACTGTCCTCCGTCGCCCGCAACGTTGAGCGCCCCCGAAGTCGGGAATTGAAACTCGGATGACCCGAAGACCGACTTGCTCGGCTTGGCCAGACGAGCTGTGCTTCGTCGGACGTCCCGAATGTCCCCGGCCTTGCTGGGTCTTCTGCCGGTCGTTGCTGTAAAAATCCTTGACTGTAAGTTGTCTGCGCCGACAGGCCGAGTGTGGTCTCGGGAGAGTCGCTTTACTTGCAACCCGCGCGTCAATCTGCTGCTGTGAACCGTTGTGATCCGACTGGTCGATCCCGCTGTGACGCCTCACCATTTGCCATCGAGACCTTAGGGCTGCAGGTCCTGCCAATATACCTTGATAGAACACGGAGTCCTCTCTCGATCGATGGCAATCACCCAGGGTCCTTTGGACTGCGACATTTTGGCCGCACCGCATCCGTACTCGCGCCGCGGCACCCCATACCGGCAGGTTCATAAAATTAGCTTCAGGATTCTGCAAAGAACACAACATCCTCTCAGACGACGGCACCCACATGGGAGGACCTCAACCCGAATGATTCGTACGCGTCACTCTCTGCGTCCGCCAATCACTTGAAATATCCCTTCACCGCATCGCCGTCTCGCAGCGCCACATGACCGAGTATGCCATTCCATTCAAATGGCTCCTTGCGAGCTTCCTCTTCATATTTATATCATATGGCGGGAGGCATCGCATCTTGGTGCACGCATGGAGCGCGTCCACACTCGGCGCCCATGTGGCGTTTGTTCCTTCAATTTTCACTCGGGTGCGCGCCCCGCCCGGCTTGCAAACATCCCGGCCCGAAACACGCCTCCCCAGGAACGTCCGACGCCGACATGCACTGATGCGGTCGCAGCAAGCTTGAGCCGCGGCGTTCAATTTATTCTAAGTTAGGGAGCCCCTCAGGTACTTCATGACAGAACAGGCCCAGGGGCATTCAAAGTTGTCTCGCGCGAGTTTTAATCCGATTTTGCATCACCATAAAGTGCCTCCACACTCAGTCGAAACACACCCTAGGCTCTGAATGCGTCCAACGGATGGATAAAGGCCCCTATAAGAGATCAAGTTGGATGACAGTCGTGCTGCGTGGGCAAGCAATCATGCACACTTTACACCATTCGTGCCAAATATTTTGCAAGATACATAGAAAATACCGATGACGTCGAGAATGGGCGCGTGCCTTGGTATGGTAATCGGTATCGAAATCAAGTTAGTGTCGTCAGGCACAAACTCGAACGATCGTGCAGCAAAGTGCTCCCAGAACGTAATTTAATATCTGCTATCGCGACCTGTACGACCCCGGAAGGTAATCTGGATGCTGCTGTACCTGACTTGCCGGTACGATCGCGATCGCGCGGAAGGAGGTTGATTTGACTGCTATACTTTCTCCGATCATTTCCCAGTTTTGAATTTGAGGACGCATTTTCGCTCATGGCATGTACATACTGCGCAGCAGTCGGTATACAGTACGTGGATGGTTCGGGCTCGTAAGTGGATAGCATCTTTTCTGTCGGACGGTGCTGATCAGGAAACCAGGCCGGACGTCCGAATTGTACGAGCGGAGTCACAGGTCCCAACTAAGAGTTATGTCGTGAAACTCAGGAAAGTGTACTGATACCTCATCGACGCCTGATAGGGAGTAATAATGGTGGTTTGGCCAATGGAGAATAGTTGACGGACGTGACGTGGAGATACTCGAACCGGGCCATATAGAATAGCTCTATATGTGACATCCTCACGCTTATCGTCCTTGTGCAGGGAAGAGCTCAATCTGTTTCGTTATCCGCCATAGAATCCGTCATGCTGTAATTACGATACCCGTCGGCCACCACTCGTGCCGCTGACCGCTTGCTTTCCGGCTTCAAGACTGATATAGCGGCGGATAGGCTGTATCTTGGAACCAGAAAATTGGCAGGTAGGAGCAACTCGCTCTTTCACGAGAAAGCTCGGACAGATACTCTAATCTCATCGCGATGATGCTCACTTTTATTGCCTTAGGAATAACTGCAGTCTCCCTGTCGCAACACCCTGGGGGGCAACCTCGCATTTCCAAGCCTCTTTCTCGATAAACCATGTGATATCTTGCTTACGGTGAAGCTGACCGCGCCTTAAGAGCACGAAGTGAGTGTTTGCATACCCAAATTTTCTCGTAATTTTATCAGCTCCCCCGCGCGGTGATCAATCATCGCACAACGCCGTGATATTCCATGCTGTGTGCTCCGCTCTGCACGTTGAATCATACTTTCACACTTGTGAATGAGGAACGACCTCATTTTCCTTAGTTCATCCTTATTCCATCCTTCGCAATGGGAATAATGTGCGTTTTCAGTACGAACGACTACCTAATCCTTTCAACAACACGTTTACAGCGTGCGGCTGCATCTGCAGAGCGGAACGTTGACTATTTCCCATCCTGACGAAGTCGTGATCTGTCACCGGGGGACTAGGCAGCTGCTCGGAAAACTTTGATGAGGCACCCATCTGTGCTGTCGTTCAACCACATGTCGTGCGATTCACGTGAGGATTCCCCCTCGCCCTGACGGTGCGCACCTCTCGCCGGAATTGGTGTAACCAAGGCCGCCGCGGCACGCGACGCGGGATAAAGAATTTCTTGCGGTTGCGAGACTTCCGTTGTCTCTGCTCTGACACTCACGCGATCCCTACACAGTGCAGGATGGACGTGCTCGGATACGTGCATGCAACCAATGCGCTCCGCTCGCTCCTCTGCGCGGGGTCCATGGGTAAGTTTGCGCTCCTCAGTAGAGGCGACCGCGCCCTTGTGCAACGCACGGCCCTCACCAAAATGGCGGTGTACGGGACAACCAAGGCTGCGGCGGACATGGGAATGACGAAGTTCGCCGCACAGCTCGAAAGCGAGCGGGCCCGTGTGAGGTTGCCGTTCACGGTGATCGCGGTGGCGCCAGGGCAAGTGGACGCGTCTGCGACGGCGATGGATATGCGTGAGTGCTCTGTCGCCGCACCCGTACGCTGACTTGCTTCACTCTGTGCCTTTTGGGGTGTAGCCATAGCGCGGCACCGCATAGTGGATGTGATGTGCGCAGCATCGGTGGGTGGGAGCCCGATGGGAATCTCATCGACAGTTGTCTGCTTCTGATCCATCGTTATGCACGACGTCTTGTACATGTGGAGCGATGTGCCTAACTTGATGCGCCAGTATTGTGCTTCCAGAGCTGTCTGCATAATAGGAGGGGAAGGCGGGGGCGTTGCCTAAGAATCGCATCTGCCTACCTTCATGTCTCCCTCCCCATATCACAGGCTCTGCGACATGCATGGCGCATTGCGTAACCACTCAATCTTGACTGAATACTCAGGTTAGCTTTGACTTCTGTGACACGACGACTCTCACAGCCCCTATCTGTGCTATTCCATATGCCCCATGCCCATTTCGGACTGAATCGTTCCTGAGATACCTCTACAGTGCCCGTGTAGGATTTGATGATCTGGGGCTCGGTGCGGGGCTTGGCGTTTGAGCAGTGATCCGATCTGCCAGATACAGTTGAAATACCAGTGCCTTACTGCCATATATTCAGCACTACTTTCCAGTGTGACAGTCTCTCCTTCACTTTTGTCCGTCATTAGATCGCCTAGCAATGTCCTGGAATGCTACGAACACCGTAGGGCCACTCTTTGTTGGGGTAGCCTTTTCGCTCGCGTACTGCACACCATCTCAATCTAGATGGCGTGGTTGACTGATCAATCCTGTTATGCAGGTTCTACGGCGTATTGTGTGCGCAGGTCCTGTATTACACATGGCACTACCCTAAGGACTCACTCCGACTCAAAGGAATGGTAGGTCTCATATTTGTCTGCTGCTTTCTATGTCGTCATTCGTGCCCCAAAGGTCTGGTGTCTATTGTGCGTGGTATGCTAGCAGGGTAAGACATCCTGGAACTAAGTGATGAGCAGCATACTTGATACTATTTCCATGGCCTTGACTATTGATGTAGGTCTTGAGTTTGTGGGTACAATGAGATGCTCATTACTTGCCAGTGCTTGTACCAAACAGGTGTTAGACTACAAGCCTCTGCTGTGATTAAATTTATACTACCTCGGTCAGTGGATATCACACTTATTCTTCATTAATGATGCTCATATGAAAACTCTTGATCAGTTCAATTGGTGTTAGTCCCTATATAGCTTGATTTCACTGATCTCTCAAACTTGCTTGACTACAGTTTGAATTTGTTATTGGAGTAAGAAATTGATATTATGAGCCAATAGCTATTAACCATACACAGGCAATTATGATCTTGATTGTTCAAATGTAAGTTCTGCCACTGACTCTTAAGAAATGCATGGTTTTGGCTAATTTTGTGATATTAGATATTATATATATATGATTGAGCAATGTGAGTGACCATTTTGATTGTTATGAGTACCAGGATAATCTATCCTCCATAGTACATGCAAATACAAGAATCAATGCTCTTATCTCAAGTATAATGGTACATCCTTATGATCAAGATAGTTATGCTTTGCTTATATGATTGCTTATAGGTCATATTAACATTAGTATCATGTGGTATGACATACTTTTGATGTTTTTTCCTGTATTAATGTATTGATGATATAAAATATTCAGCCTCAGGCTGTGGTTTGTACCCTATTTTGTGCTCATAAAATAAACTAACACTACTTTGTTGTTGTTATAGCCAATGGATATTATGGGTAAGTCCTATTTGAATGCAGCTGCATCATTGAGATTATAAGCACTCCAAGACTGGAATTTCCTGCCATTCCAGAGGTGTTTCTTAAAGCAAAGGTACTGGTTTGGATTCAGTGCTATCTTTCCTGTATTCACGGAAATTCATAGAATTCAGGCATTGTTCAACCAGTTACAGCCACACTTATAGATGTATATATTATGGTGGCACTTATCTGGACATTGAAACAAGAATATTCAGTGTTACGAGAGCAAGTTTTCCATAAATACTACTTGGTATTATTTGACTATTGTTGATTAGCACAAGAAGTCTTATCAACAAGCTTATCTCATTTGCCATTAATCGTGCAGTTTTAACAGTGTATGTATTTTCACCACATTGAACGCTAAGTATCATTTAATCTCAACCATTATACATATGTAGTACTCTACAGCTCACACAGGCAATTTTGGCAAGGACTTATATTTATGAAACATGACCTTGCTGTATTTACTTGTCTGCTATAGTTTGCAGCTCTAAGCTTGCATGATGGCTCCTGGATGCCCTTTCATTGTGTTGGAACCCGAGGTATGTTCATTGAGCTTACTTGCAATAAATTGACTATTGATGATTGAATTAGCATATGTAAACTCATTGATTGCAATGTATGTATGTATGTATAACTATATTCATGACACTAATCTCAACATTGGCAGGCTCAATGCAAGACATCATTTTCACAAGCCCAGTCATGCTATTGTAAGGCCAATTATTTTGCAGCCCAAAATATTGCTAAGAGACATTAACTAGGCTGTAGATGTAGAAGTGACCACACATGAACAATGATATATCTGCACAGTGAATGCTTGTGTTTTCACTGTTGTCTAGCAATCAAAAATTGTATTGCTTGTCCAAGAAGAAATGCAACAAAAGTCAGCTATTTTCCAAGAATCTCAGTATTATTCTAAGCAGTAAGGTGTCTGGAACTAGGACTGTAAAACACTCAGATGAGTTTTATATTTACACCCTATACAGATTGAAGCCAGAGAGTCAGTAATTGTGAATGGTTGGGGGTACAATATGAAGACATTATTTCGTGCGCAACGCGCCGCCTGTACAGACAACTCTGTGCGCTGGACGCTGCTCACTAACTCAAATATCGTGCATGCAGCGTATCCGTTACGTGTTCGCGTCGCGCGTTGCCGCACCTCTACTGCTTCCGTTACATCACTCCAGACAACCCCCTCGCGCTGCTGAGTCTCCGCACCACTACGCCGGCACAATGCGGACCTCGGTAGACGAGCGGACTCCTGTGCCTGTGCCCGTTGCGTTAAGGGCGGTGAGGAGCGCAAGCAGCTGTTGCACAGCATCCGCAGGGCGGAACGCGCGCATCAAAGCTCGGGAGCGCATCGAGGTGGTACGAAGTCATGCGCTCAGGTAACGCCGTGGCCGCGGGGCACAGTAGCTAGACAATTAGATTAACATAACAAACCGCACGATACCTAATTTCCGTTTTTTTTAAAATACGAAGTTTGAATTCACACTCGCACTGTGATCATTAGATCTGTTATTGCAGGAATGTGAGCTCTGCGATTACAATTTTTTGATTTACGTGATTAGGAAAAAAAATCCTAGGGCGAAGGGTATACATACTCACACCACACACTTACCAGAACATAGTCACACATGTACGCCTATCGCCAGCCTGAGGCATAGTTTGATGACCGAACGACAGGACCAAACGACAGGTACATAAGGCTGATGGCTGGGAATAAGAGCGCTGACCCCATGCGATTCCAGCTGCTTTGAAGACAGTGTGCACGGGCATGAAATCATTGCCACCCCCTGGATAGTGCGGAATACAGATATCCGTAGCAGATGTCGCGTGAAAATGATCGAGAAGTAGTAACTTTAGTCTCTGAGTCTCAAGTTGAACAATGCCGGTCTCCGACAAGTCGACGAAGATATAAATAAGCATGACATGTGACGTGGGGGGGGGACCACTTACCAGGATCCGGAACCGCGGGACCTGCGCGGAGGAGATTGGGTGCGAGAAGAATGTACCGCACGGTGGAACCATTTTCTTGATCGCGGAGGGGGCCGCCCACCAACAATATGTAGTCGAACTAGGCCGTTCTTGATGCATCAGCGCCGGGTGTAGAGCGACTAGTACACATCAAAATTTTATTCCTTCCATTGAAATAAGTAGCACCTCGGTAATAGAGTGCCGCTTCAATGGCATGGTGTATGATGTGTGATGTGCTTAGCTCTTAATGGTAGTATGCTCTGATTACAAAGCAGCAGAAAACATACTCCGAGTGCTCACAAGTCTTAAGTGGTTGATCGTCCTCATGTCTGCAATTACAAAGGAGCCATATGTAATCATACGCCAAGCGGGAGGCCAAGGAGTGTACATACAATGATTGCCTTCGACTCGGTCTCAACGTCGCACTCGCCTACGTAAGGGACGATGGAGTTAGTGGACCTTTGTCGAAAACTTACCACGCAGCTCAGTGGCTTGGTTTGACTCGGTATTCGATCGGAGACCTACATCGTCACCACTGCCGCTCGATCACCTCCATAAGTGTTTCCGCAGATTCGGGTTTTGCTATAACGTCCTTGTTTCCGCGTTCCGTATACTGCCCGCGTCGGACTCAACGGTTTCTATAGAACGCATCCATCTGGGCGAAGATACCTATTTGAGAAGGGACCGCATTGAAAATGAGCTCCTCTTACCTCCATTGCCGCCATCGCCAAATTTCTACGTCGCTATGCTCTGCAAAGTCATTCTCGTTGTCATTTTCAGCCTCTCAAACACGCTTGCAGCCCCAACTGTCAGAAGAGAGGGAAACTCGATGCCGCTTCCGCTGCAGTTGGCGGATCGTTCAACATCAGGTACAGTCAACGGGCTGCCATGGAATGCACCAAAAGCAGTGATATAGGTAAACAAAATATTAGAATCGGTAGAACTACAGGGTCACTCACCCATAGTCCGCAGGTACGATTGGTCATTAGTCGTTTCTGCGGGGGGGGG